CGGAAGTACACTCTTGACGTTGTGACCGAGACCGATTTACTTGGCGGTAAACCGGCGGACTTTCTCATGGAATAGAATCACCAGCTTCCCTTAGCAGACGGTCCTCTCTTTTCTGACCCCGAGCGTTATCGGCGTCTCATTGGGCGATTGATCTATTTGACAGTCACTCGTCCTGACTTGTCTTACGCAGTTCATACTTTGTCTCAGTTCATGCTGTTGTGTACAAATTATATTTTTACCGAGTACGGGATGACTCCCGACCTCGGGTCGATCTCACAAGGAAGGCGGTTCGGAATTCAGCTTTGGTATCGATCACACATAAAAAGAAGATAAATCCTAAACACTCTAATCAGATAAGGGGAATATATTATCAACTAAGAAATCAACAACAAACAAAAACGAACCTAAAATACGAACTAGAAAGTGATAAAGAAGCTAGGGAATCGGGGATAATTAGTTCAAGTTCTAGGCAAAACCGGGCAATCAATTGTTTGGTTCGAGATTGACACTCTCGCTTAGACATCTAGCGGTCCGCTCCCAATAACTCTTCGTAACAAGGGATTGAACATAGACGAGCTAGCTCGAGCATACAATATAGGTCAATTGTCCCAGTCTCAATAACTTTTCGTAACAAGAGACGGGTCATCGGCAAGTACGTATTTCAATCCAAAACCTATAGACTATTCAGTTACGAAATCATCTATCTCATGCGAGCCTAGGTCTACGACTTCTCCCCTTTCGGTTCTAAAAGTCGCTAATTCAATCAGAAGGTGTTTAATCAACTAATCATATAGAATCAACAAACCCTAACTCGACAAATTAACATTCAATTGATACCAATTGCAAGATCGAAGTGTCACCCTTCGATTATATCAAGTTATCAAGCAAGAATTAATTAACCCTAATTAAAGCAACTCGCACAAGCATGAACAATCTTGAGCCCGACAATAACGAAATTATTCAAGAACAATCATCCTCTATCCCTAGCAGAAGGAATTAGCTACGTAAATCAAATTCAACACAATAATTCATTTCCCCTAATTTAACCATTATTCATGAATTAAACACGAGAGAAAAGAAACTTACCAATAATCTCAAGTCCAAATGTTGAATTCGAATTACAAGCTTAATCCCTAAGTACTATGAAGAAGAAGAAGAAAAATAGAAAAGAAAGGTGAAGAGAAGAAGGAAAAATGAAGAAGAAGGAGAATGGAGGAGATGGGAATTTTCTGTGTTTTCTAGCCCTATGTTCATCCCCAGGAGGGGGAGAATCCCCCTGCTCGATCGCGTCCTGTGTGTTTATATAGGGAAAAGAGTGCCACGGCGTGAAAGGCTCTCGCGGCGCGGAGCTGGGAGGCCTGGGAAGCCTCTGTAGGGGTCGCGGAGGATGCTTCACGCCGTGGTGGACAGCTGTGCCGCGCCGCGAAGGTCCCTCGCGCCGCGCCGCGGTGGCTAATTCCTGCACTGCACTATTTTGCTTCAGAGGCTCGTTTGGGCTCGTCCGAACTCGGAATTGGGTTCCGTTTTTTCCTACGCGTCGCTAACGAACCTCTCTATTCAATGATGCTTTCATGACCAGATTTTGCCAATAGTACAATCATCTAGAGTTTTCCAACCTTCAAACGGTCGGCAGCTTGCTGGACTTTACGTTTCAGCCCCGTTCGGGTTCGTCTGAACTCGGAATTGAGTTCCGCTTTTTCCTACTTGTAGCCAACGAACCCATCTATCTAACCATGATTTCCCAGCCCGTTTTCAAGCTAAACTTATTCCTCATGGGCTTCTGACCTGCACACCAAAAACAAGAAAAACCGGAAAAACATACAGAAAACACAAGAAAAACCAAGATAGAGCAAAACACGCAATAAACTACAAAACGAGATAAAAACTAACTAAAGAAACTAATATGGGGGAAAAAGAAAGGAAAAATAACAAGGAAAAAACGCAACAAAAATGGGACAAACACATGCAGCAACCTCGTCAGGCCCACTGGGATGCTGCTCTTCGGGTAGTTCGTTATTTGAAGGGTACTCAGGGTCAAGGTATTCTTCTTCGTTCAGATTGTGATTTGCAGATTTACGGTTGGTGTGACTCTACTGGGCGACTTGTCCCACTACACGTCGTTCTCTCTCGAGCTGTTTTGTCCAGCTTGGTCATTCACCCCTTCCTTGGTGCACCAAGAAACAACACACTGTAGCCCGGTCTTCTGCCGAGGTCGAGTATCGAGCTATGGCGACCTTTACTTGTGAGTTGAAATGGTTGAAGGGTTTACTTCACAGCCTTGGCGTTGCTCATTCTCAGCCCATGCGGATTCATTGTGACAGCCAAGCAGCTCTGCACATTGCTGTTAATCCTGTATTTCATGAGTGCATGAAGCATATTGAAGTCGATTGCCATTTTCTTTGTGATGCTCTTGTTCAAAGTCTCATTTCTACCGCTCATGTTTCCACTCATTCTCAATTGGCGGACATCTTCACCAAGGCCTTGGGAAAACGCGAGTTTGTTTTTTTTTTTTTCTTGGCAAGTTGGGCATCCGGAATCCGCATGCTCCAACCGGGGTTGGGTGTGTTAGAGTGATTTTGTGAATATTGTATTTTTGGTATCTTAGAGATTTGGTGTATATTGGTTTTTAGGGTTTCCTTTGTATCTTTATATTTGGCTCTTGTGAATCTCGGAAAGCAAGGTTTGTTGAAACGAATTGGTGTTCACATATTTGTCAGAGTTCGAAAGAGAAAAGAAAAAGAAAGTAAAAGTTTATTGGGCTTCGTCGATCTTTTCTTTTCTGACGTTCTCGCTCGTCTTGTCCGTGTTCCTAGCCTCCCAAAGTCTCTAAAAATCTTAAAAAATCTATAAAAAACATGTCATGGTGTTTCGTATATGATTGGGGTCTAGTCCTAGTCGAAATAGATCGAAAACTCGTCAAAAACAGGAAAAATGCGTATTGGTCGCACCCAAATCCACACGACTCGTGTGGAAAGTCACAAGCGTCACACGAGCTGTGTGAAAAAGTCAACAGGCTGGCTCCAATCTTCAGCTCGACATGACTCTTGTCAGACCTCACACGAGTCGTGTGTCTATTTGATATCGGAAACCTCATTTTCGTCACGTCTATCTTCATGTTCTCAAGCATCTCACGGTGGTCGAAAATAGTGTCCAGGTGGTCGTTCCGGCAGCTGCGACTCCCAGCGTGCGACAAAAATTTCCCGGCGACAAGATGGCCGTGCTCTGGCGTTCGATGTTGAAGACAAGAATTTCATGGTTGTTTCGGCCTGAGGCTTTCCAAAGTTAATGAATAAAATGACAAACTTTATTGCTTTCTTTTTTCTCTCCTATTCACTTTATCTCTCTCTGTCTTTAATATGTATGATTGTATGAAATGATTTATATTACAAGAGGTATAAAAGATAACATTAAATTTAAATTTTATTATCGAAGACAAATTCCTAAAAATTCTATGGAGCCATCCACCACTTAATGTATTGACACCTGTCCAAATGGTATTTATTGTAGGACACGTGTCAATACACTATTGGTGAATAAGTGTGAATGACTCCATAAGCCGAGCCATCTGATGATTCCATAGCAAAACTGGACAAATTCCAAGAATGAGCCACATTGATTCCGTGTATAGACAAAAGCATATGAAAATCACAAGAATCTTTCCCTTTAACAAGGGCTACCATATTATATTTTTGTTTATTTTTTTAATTTAGGTAGAATGCATAAGCAAAACACAATTCTAATTTCTAATTTTTTTTTTATATATATTCATTTATTTATGATCATCTTGAATCAGTACAAGACCAGACGGGGGCGGAGCTTTATAGGGCCCAGTGTGGCCCTAGATACACACTGAAAAAAAAAATACTATATTATATATCCTACTCAAAAAATAGTTTACTACTCAATTAATAAATTAAAAATAAATAAAAAACAATAGGAACACAAATAAGAGAAAGAAAAAGAGATAATGGGAAAAAAATCATTGTTCTTGTTTATTTTGGTGAAAGTAAATCTAGTCATTTTTTATTAGATTTGATCTAAAAATTAAAAAATAAATTTAGTCATTTTTTTATTAGATTTGATTAAAAAATTAAAAATTTAAACTTGTAGTTAATTGAATATTGTTTCTTAAGAGACTATTAACATATTTAAATTTGTTTATGACTGATAAATTGTAGGGCTCTTAAAAGTTTGATATATTAGATAAAAAAATTTATACATTATAATTTATTTTTTTATATATCACATTATGCAGAAAATATATTTATAAATAGTTTTGTCAAAAAGCATGTGAAAATATTTCAAAATTAGCTACTTTTATTCGAAATATACTTGAGGCGAATTATAATATTGTTAGGCCGAAAGAAAATGTAAAAAATCTTATTGTTGAGTCATATCAAGCTATAAAAACTTATAAAAATTTCTATGAACGTGTATTTTGTATTTATACTTTATTGTGATATATTATATTTGTTTTTTAAATATAAGTAAGCTTCTACTCATATTATGAATTGGATCCGCCCTTGAAACCAAATCGCAAGTCAGTGCTTATGTAAAAAAATTGAAATCAAACCCAAGTTGCATCCATGAAGTACACAATTAGAAATGATCCTAAGTTAACTTTATAAATATCANCGAAAGTTCTGAATTTCAGAAAAAAAAAAAAATAAGTGGAATTGAATTAAGTAAAAAATGTCAAAGGAGACAGAAAAGAACAAAAGAATAAATAATACTATCAATTTTAATTTGAATTCATCATCTTAGGCTTAATGTTTAGACAATCATAATATTTCAACATAGATATACATTTTTTTCAATGAAAATTTTATTGGATTTATGAAGTTTTGATTAATGTTTAAACTATTTACGTAATTGAACTGAATATGTTGATTATTTTTTTTATTCATTTATCAATTAAAATTCGTCATGAGTAAATATTGAATCTTTTAAAATACTGCTGTAAAGCAACGCATCTGACAAGACAAAAGAATAATTTCAGCTCAACTTGAGCTCAAAATGTTGGTTTTTAACATAGATAGGAAAGGAGCAAAAATGGCACCTCTGGACGTCGACGAGTTGTATGATTTTTTGCAATACAGAACTGCACCTTGAATTCCATCATGCTGCGAATCGTCCCTCCGGCCGGACGGCGGTACGGACGCCGATCGGCCTTTCCGCAGACGATTGGACAGGATCTTAAAGCTTCCCGTCCTGCTGCCCTCAGATTTCGCCGGCGCCGGTGGAGATGACGGCGTCAACGAACCCGACGACTTCGCCTTCTCGTTCTGCTTCTTCCACACCTTCTGGTACAGAGGTTTAATCAACTTAAGGTACTTTGGGACCGTATCCCTAGACGGTATTTTTGCCGGAGAAGCTTCATATTCCGATGCTTCTCTCATCAATTGGCTCCTCAGGCTGTTGTCTCCGGCCGCCGCAACCGTGAAACGGCCGCTCCCGTCGATTTTCGCGAATTTCGAGCTCGAATCGGCCACAAACTGAGTTTTCTCTCCCTTGGTCGGTTTCCTGAAACTGAACGAGAAGAAGACATTGAACTTGGGCGTCGACCGGAGGGGAGTGACCGGCGACGCCGCCTTCGAGGTCGAGGCGCCATTTTCACTCTGCAAAACATCTCTCGGAGATCGAACGAACCGAAAATACTTCTCCGTAGCCACCTCAACACGTCCATCATCGGCTACGCGGTCGGGAGATCTGAAAACCAAATCGAAAAACGAATCCTCACCGTCTGTTTCTCCGTCGGAGACAGCCCCGTCTGCATCCCGCCGGAATTTGAGGACTCCGGTAGCTTCCATTGGGAAGCGGGAGAGAAAAACCAGAGCCTATATTAATTCACGCTAAAAATGCAGAGTAATTAATAGCAGAAGGTAAGGTCGTGTTTGGCGCGGGCGAATGGACGATCATGTGAGGCGCAGGAGTAAAGTAAATGAGCGGGATAACAAGTGATAAAAGCCAAACAGTCTTGCGTTCAGTAGGAAGAGGCTATTTTAAAAGCAGAGATTGCAGACTGCGAATTTCTGCACCTCAAAGCTCATGCCTTTGAATTTGGAGTTATTTGAGGTATGGAATGGTCCAACATCAACTTTAGCCTGTGGGCCCACTTACATACACCTTTTGGAAAAATGAAAAATAATTAGTTGCAATGTCAAACAAAATTTAATATCCATATGAATTTTTTTAGTCAGCACACTCATAGTTCTTTTCTCAGTCGGTTCATCACTAATCACTATTGGTATGCGATTTGAAATCTAGTCAATTACGAAGAAAATTTGCGAAGGATTGATTTTTCAATTTATGTAGGACCAAATTGTTAACGTAATTCTCACGTTGTTATTAAATTATACAATTATATAACGTGGCATAAAGTTGTCTTGACTAAGTTGCATTTCAAACATACTATCTTAACTTAATGAAAATGTTGTTATCAGGAATTCTTAGGGTGAGGTGGCACACCATCATAACGTACAATCATAATTATGTATTTATATACTTATGCATATATATTTTTGTTTATTTATAAATTATAACCCTCTCATGTGTTATCTTTACTATGAAATACAAACAACGTGAATAAATCTAAACGGGCAAGTTTATCTTACTAACTGTATACATATATTTTGTGAGTCGGCAGTTTATTAGATGGACTTATGATGTAGGGAAAGCGTACGAGTAAACCATAAACAAGATATTCTCTCGATAAAATCAATCAAATCTTATTTCATTTCATAATCAACTGAATAAAATAATAGATGAGGAGCCCTTTAAATAAGACTCCTAAACCATATTCCTAACTTGTCCAACAAGACAAGACATCTCATAACAATATTTAATTCCTAACTTATTCTCCAAGATACCTATAATAATAATAATAATAATAATAATAATCTACACCATTCTCTCTCGGTTCGGAAGGCTTCGCCCTCGAACCCGATGTGCACCCTTGGCCGGCGTGTGGTGTCGAACCATAGTAGGAAACCCTCGACGTTTTCACCGGTCGAACACGAAGGTTGAACGGCACCGTGATCTACCTTGGCGAGCCGCAAAATCCTCGGCTGTGCGAATGAAACTCTTCCTCTCATCCACTAGTTACCCGACCAACCCAAACAAATACTTCGGAACCACTATCTAATAAATAACATTTTTTGTTTCCGAGAATCGATTTGGAAAGTGCACCATCGTCAACAATGGCAACCTCACATTTCCCTTCATGAAACTGTTGCAACATATATAACCGCGTGTCTTCTTCAACGATTTTGATAGTAGCAGTTTCATCCTTCAGCCCCGAAGGCTCCTTATCAATGATCGGCGGACCGTCGTAGAGACCGCCAACTTCGCCAGTAGGACACTCCTCCACCTTCTCGGGTCCTTCATCAAACACAGGCGGACCATCGTATAATGGCCTGTCAACTTGCTCTCCGTCGAATTCGGAGATGTCAACGCGAAATGGGCCCTCCGATTGACCATAGTCGCGATCATGTCCCCAATCGTGTCGGGCACGATATCCGCCGGCGAAGGAAGCTTCCTCGTGCCTGCCTTTGTCGTAGCGTTGATCGTCGCTGTCCACGAAGACCGAGCCCCGTCGCCGCATGTCACGGCCGCCGTATGCAGCGAAGGGGTCAGCCTCGACATGCGGGGTTGGAAAATCATCGAAGGGATTCACCTCCAAGACTGTCTCCTCGCCGTCTACGTCGCCGAACGGTGGTTGTTGAGATCTCAGGCGGGGCGCCCCGCCTGGACCACGGCCTCCATGTCCTCCGTGAATTCCCCCGCACACGCCTCGGTCGCCGGCGACACGGTTCATCTGCAAAGCCCATACCACGTTGTTAAGTATCAAAGGCAAATCCTCGATCCCCATCAAAAGATCTGCAAACCAATCCGTGAAACGCACATCCAACTATTCAAATCGGTAGTCGATCTATTGAAACCGATTAGTGAAGGTTGCGTCACGTCGTTCGTTTGCGGCATCTTGTCGTTCCGGTGACATCGCGAATCGTACTGACTGCTGATACCAACTGATGTAGGAATTGATTGAGTTTTGTGAGTTTTACCGAGAGAGTATCTCGTTTATCTTTCCCATTCGTACCGAGAGAATAAGAATTGATTGAGTTTTGTGAGTTTTGCGAATCGTACTGACTGCTGATACCAACTGATGTAGGAATTGATAATAAGAATTGATTGAGTTTTGTGAGTTTTACCGATAAAGTATCTCGTTTATCTATTTCATTCGTACGCTTCCCCTACATCAGTTGGTAGCAGAAGTCAGCACGATTTACGATGTTTTCGCGACGACAAGATGCTGCAAACGACAGGCGTGTCGCCGCCATTTACAACCTGAGCCGCCAGACCGAGTGGTTTGGCCGCCAGCTCGAGATGATGGGTCGTGAGATTGCAGATCTATCCGCGGAGATCGGGGACATACGTCTAACTATCTGTACCATGGTTCGGGACAAGCAAACGGACTGTGACGCTGGCAACCGGGGCGTGCGCAGGGGACTTCGCGGAGGAAGTGGAGGCCGTGGTCCAGGCGGGGCGCCCCGCCGGATATCTCCACAACAATCGTCCGGCGACAAAGGCGGCGAGGAGACAATCTCGAAGGTGAACCCCTTCGGCGATTATCAACCTCCGCAAGTCGAGGTTGAGCCTATTGCCGCACACGACGGCTAAGATGTGCGGCACCAAGGCTCAGTTTTTGAGAAAGATGACGACCAACAACGTGAAGGTGGCGATGACCATCGATGGGAGGGCCCGTTTCGCGTGGACATCCCCAAATTCGACGACGATCTAGATGACGGGCCATTGTACGATGGTCCGCCGATTTTCGATGAGGAGCCTCCGGGGCCGGAGGATTTCATCGTGGAGTGTAATTCTCTTTACAGCAACACCAACAAAAACTGTAACCAACCTTTTGGGGGAGAGAGGGTGCATGCCAGGGGCGTAGGTCCTGCTCCAATCCCAGTCGAGGATTTTTCACTTCACAAGTTGGTAAACGCAATTATTTGTATGCTACATCCTGAGGTTAAACAAAGTGCAATTGAACTGGCAAAAGCAATGGAAGATGACGATGGGTGATTCTGACAAGTCATGATAAGTACTTTCAAGGTAATGACCATTCGGGTGGTGTTGAATTTTTGAGTTTTGTGATGCTCGGGGGTGTTCGGTTTGGAAGTAGGGGACCTATGTTTTGTCGGTCGACTAGAGTGGACGTTGGGAGACATTCAACCTTCGTGGTCGATAGGGGAAAATGCCGGACGATGATTGCCAAGGGTACGACTCCTGTGTCACACGTTTGGTGCGGCTTCGAGAGCGAAGTCTTCCGAACCGGAGGAGAATGGTGCGGATAGGCATTAGTTTAAGGTTTAGTATTATTCTTATTATTATTATTAGCATTTAATATTATTATTTAATACTTAGTAGCTTGGTGGACAAGATAGGTTTAGGGCTTTAAAAGTCTTATTTAAAGATTCATTCTTCTTTGTTATGAGGTGGTATATGCAAATTAGACGCATAGTTAATAATTATGCAAAATACTTTCGCATATGTTGTAATCACATATCTCCACCGCAGAATTTACAATATGCGAATTTGTTTTGCATATATAGTTATTGGATATCCAAACTTATCACAGCATATTTTACGATTATGCGACATATTTTCGCATAGTTTACAAGTCGCATATACAAATCGGACGCATAGTTAATGGTTATGCGAGATTTTGTCGCATATATATACCAACGCATAAACAAATCGAACGCATAGTTTATATTGAACACTTTCACATACGATTTAATCGCATATCCAAATCCACCACATCATTTACGATATGCGAATTTATTTTGAATATATATTTATCAAATATCCAAATTGGTCATTGCATATTTTACGATTATGCGACATGTTTTTGCATAATTTACAACTCGATATCTAAATCAGACGCATAGTTAATAATTATGCGAAACACTTTCGTATATAATGTAATCATAAATCTATATCCATTGCATAATTACCATATCCGATAAAGTTTCACATATTATGTAATCACATACCCTAATCCACCGCATAATTTACCATAGGCAAGAAAGTTTCGCATATTAAGCTTTCATATATTCAAATCGAAGTTGCATATTTTACTGATTATGTGCCATTGTTCCGCATAGTTTACGATTTGCATATCCAAATCTATAAATCTGTATAATTAATAATTATGCGTAAAATGTTTGTTCGCAAAATATTCACTAACCGCAAGTGTACGAATTAACTATAGTAAGCGGCGAGCAAGGTCGTATTCCACGGAGATTGTAGTTAAAATAATTAAGTACCAAAATATAGATGATTAAATATTATTTAGACTAACTAAAATTTGATGGAGATTTAATGACTAACAATAAACTAATTCTAACAATTAATGAAGGCTTATTCTGAATAAATCAAGAATAAGAAAATAGATCCTAGGCTAAGTTTTCCTCTGTATTATTTTAGCAAAGATTCGTTATTCATTCAAACCTTATTTAATTCTACCAATCGTAGGGATAATTACTAAAAGAATATAACATCTCTCTCGAGTAAGTTAAATCGCTGATTAAATACTATCTATCTCCTCTTGGTCTGATCAAGATGAACAATTAACTCTCCTATCTCTTAAGATTCTAGTTCCATCGCAAGATTCTATCAACCTCTCGGTCTGTTTAGTCTCTAATGTTATGAATTTTCCAATTCTAGCAATCAACTATCTCGTCTCGGTCTCAAATCAATCACAAACATTCATAAATACGGGCCCTGTATTCACGCAATTAATATA